GATAAGTATGTTTTTTACTTCCCCGCCGCCGCTGGTGCCGCTCTCCCTACTACCGCCAAACGTACAGCTCGAACCACGCGCTCGGCCGTGTCTTACTCTTTGTTTTTTTATTTATTCGCCGGCTGTTTACCATACGTTTGCATTTTTTAAATAAAAGTATCAGCATTGAACTTAAACCTGTAAAAGTTTTAGCCCAAAAGGTCAATAAACAAAGGTACAGGAATTAAAATTTTTTAAAAATTATCTCGGTTCCAGAAGGTGGAAGAACAACATTTTTTTTTTAGATCTGTGTTTTTAAAAGCACTTTTTAGTTAAGATACTGCAAATGCTAAAATTATAAAGTTACTGGTTTTATGCGCGTGTCGTAAACGAGTATGGCTAAATAAATTGTTATGAAATCGGTCGAAGCTAAAATGTTCCAAAAATTTTAATGGGCTATAAAACTTGAAATATTTCTTACATTTTTTAGCTTGGATTGGTTGATGTAGCTGTTTAAGAAAGGATACGGTGCATTTTGCAGTTAAAAATCAAAACAAAATTTAATCGTTCATTAATTAAAAAGCTTAAAATCGATCTTGCTAAAATTGTGCACTTATTAATACCGTGATATGCAACGATATCAGAGAATTTGAAGTATCTACGTGCATTTGTTCGCGAGATATTTAATGTCGAAGAAAACAGCTTTTTTGCAACTTCGAAGGCTGTTTGTGGATAAACAATAAGACTTAGCGACCCGTTCTGGGCATTAAAATTTCAATGATCATCCCAGGAGTAAAAAAGTATATAATAAAGTAAAGAAAAAAAATGCAAAGGAACAGAGATATTGAGTAAAAAGTAAAAAAAAAACAATTTTTCTTAAAATTTTCTTGATTTAAAAAAAAAGCTCACGTTTTCACCTTACCACGCGGTCATATTCTTGTTTGGCGTCAAAAAAATATGGAAATCGATGAAAACCTTGGTCCCACCCAAAATATTCATTATTCCACGTGTAATCGTCCCCGCTGTCTGGCCTTATACAGCTAGTACGCTAAACACTAAGATATCGTAGCTGTATTCTGTTACTATTATGTTAATTTATTGTGAACAAGTATACGACAAAGGACTTGGTAAGACGTTGGTGGGCTCTTTCGATTAGGAAAATAAATTAGTTAACACATGTACTTATTTGATATATAATAACAAAAGTTTTATATTGCTACTTTAATTAAAGTGGGGAAAGAAGAAATACTCTTTCTTCGAAATTTATAAGGGGTTTTAAGGTGGCTGATAAAAATCGCCATTTTCTTAAGGCGAAACTTCCAGGGTCTTTAATCTTATTTGACTCCATAAAACTTGAACTAATATATATAATTTTATAATGCCATAAAAGTACATGTTAAAATATTTCAACTTCATATAGTTATATAATAATATTGAAGGAGTTATCGTGGTACAATATGCGTTAAAAGTTGGGTGCATCGAGATCTGAGCTGACTGTACACCTTTCTCTTCTCGTAACGATGAATTTTTGTCAGTTAATGTACTCGCCCATGCGCAGTTAGGATCTAGTCATTTGTTTGCTCTGTTTTCATCAAATTTTTGGCAAAATGTGCTACTTTACATTAGAACATCTCATAAACTATAGAGCTAGGCCTTCTAAAACTTTTTGGAAATTTAAACAAGTTATACGAGAATACGTATCTTTGGCAGCGATTTCAGATTCATCGAGCTCGCGACGACCTCTCCATAAGAGCCCGTGTATAACAGAAAAACTTTGAGATTTTTTTAGTATTTTGACAGACAAAAGTTTATCTTGATAAACAATAATTATATCTTTATTTTTTTGATTGGCACGCAAAATTTTTGTTATTACAATGAATAATTTGAGTTGATTTTTATACTAGGAAACGTACGGTGGTCTTTTCATTTCTTGTATGTTTATGTGCAATTTAAAATTTTTTAATATTTATTTAATGTTTTGCACTAGTTTCCAGATTATTATTACATACCTGCGTTCCTACCTTTCTTATTATTCGAGCTTTTTTTAGTGGCTCCTTAATTCTCAGTCTGCTGAATATTCTTAAATTTTTAAATAAACTAGTAAAAATCTCAATCGTACCTGTCTCAACAAATATAATAGCTCAGCTCTTCTTTTATCTTTTGTCTTTTCTAACGCAAATATTTCTTATTTTCTCCTTCATCTCCATGGATTAACATTTTATTTTTTCTGCGTCAGTTTTAAAACCTAACATATTTTGTCTCCTCACACATGGTTTCCTGTTATTCCTGTATGACCACATTTTATGGTTAGCTTGCCAGCTGATTTTTTATTTCATCGCAAATTTTTTTGTTCCTTTAGAACCGGTGGGGTCCAAGTTTTTCCTTATTGCTCAGCAACAGTTACAGTAATTCTTTTTTATCCTGCTCAATTAACTTACATTTATTAGTACTTTTTTAGCGCTTTTTTCCTCTTCATCTTTTTTTTTTTTAATTTACTTGCTCATTTTGTATGAAACAGACTCCTGGTTACTTTTTCGTCCTCAAGCCCTTTATATGCCGTATAAACTGAAACAAATCACTCACTTCAATTCATTTTTCTGTATTAATGGTGTCTGAACCCTTTTTTAGACTAATCTTTAAATGTCTTTTTTTGTAATTTTTGATATAATCGTATCAAAAATTACAAAAAAGGACATTTAAAGATTAGTCTAAAAAAGGGTTCAGACACCATTAATACAGAAAAATGAATCGAAGTGAGTGATTTCGTACAGAATCTAGCTTGGGTATCTATCCCAATTATAGACCCTGTTCCTATCGTGGACCCATTATCACATTATTAATGATAAGTTAAACGAGTGTTTCAATAGCACAATGAATTAATTTTTAAGTTGTTATTTTCTCTCTAATTCACCATAATAATGACAAATAATAGCATTTAAATAATGTTATTTCACTAAAATAATATATTAAAAAGTTACACAACGCTTTCGACTATTTTCTTCATCATGCCTTGTTGAAAACCGTAAGATACTCATATTTTTGAAATGCTGTATAAAAAATTAGGAGTATTATTTGAACTCAAAAAATTGTTTAATATATCAATAAGAGTTTCAGAAAAATAATAAAAACAAATTATACTCCTAAAAAGTTTATTTATATACATTATTAGAGGGTCCACAATACAGCCATGATTATCGGCTCTGTCTCTATTATGGACCCTTTATTCCGCCAGTATTGAGTGCACACATAACCTTCAACTTCATAACTTCGAGCTGTTGTTTTCATTCTAAAAGTAAAGAAAGAACAACAAAAATTGCCTCTTAAAAAACGCACCAAGAAGACTAAACAACCATAACAAAGTCATAAAAAATATAAGATTATTATAATAAAAAAAAGTAATAGTAATTATCACAAAATTAGTTTTATATAAAAATTTGTTTTTAAAAACTCATCTCAAAAAGTGCCTAGTCATATATTTTGTTAAAAGTGTGAGAAGTACTTATAAATAAATCTCAAATGTTTATTTAATTACATACAAATATTTTTTTACATTATGGACAGGGTCCACAATTGGGGGGTCCACATTATGGATAGGTTCAAAGTCCATGGAGGGGGTCAAAATTTTTTTTTCTTGTTTCATCATTAAAATAAAAATAACAAAACTTTTTGATAAAAAAAATTTGATGTTATTAAAAAAGAATCAAACGACTTATACGTTATTATACAAGGTGTAATTCTATTGACCGTTAGACACAAAATAAAGTTGAGCTCGAAATTTTTCTTAAAGGGTCCATAATTGGGACAGATACCCCTTTGTCTGCCTTTTTTATTAATTCTTTTTGCAAATTATTATTGTAATTTTTTTTTTCAATTACTCATCATATTTTTTAAACCTATTATTGTGTCAGCTTATATCGCTGTATAATATGTAATTTTTGAACTAAAAATTTTTTTCCTTTAGACTGTACCCCTTTTTTTATCTGCCATTCCTCTTTTATGTCTTTCAGATGATTGTTTAATAAGCATACCAATGTAATTCCTTTTTACATCTTTTAGGGTGAGCGATAAGTATGTCGAGGGTTGACATTCTGGAAAATATGGTTATTTTTCTTATAGAATAATGTTGCGTTGGCTTCAAACAATTTATATTTATCTAGGCGACGATCTTCGTCTAGTATATTTTGTTAAAGAAAAATATTCTTTTGTTTTCATTGACCATACAATTTGCTGACGCATAGCAAGAGTGTTTGAAAACGAACTTAATGGTCTATTGACTGTTTTGATACCTGGAATAGGTCGGGAGGCAAACAGGTTCGGCCGAATGTTTGGTGACCGTCCATATGAGTACTAACTGTAGAAAAAAAATGTGAAAGCTCAAATGTGCACCATATTACTCTTCCTGATTGGGTCCAGGGTTAGGTAACGCTGGAACTTTTTTTTCAACGGATTCGTGTCCTCTATATCAATTGCAGTTACCTGTTATAAAAAGCGTTGTGATGTGTGATGAAAATTTTTTTTTTTAAAAACGTTAATAATTATGTTTCATCTTTAACCTTAACTCTGAAACAACTCTAATAACCTAAACGAATTAGAGTTAGCAAACTTAAGTTCTAAAGTTACATGATTCAGAATACTACTGACTAAGCTATTATAAAAGCGAATAAAATAGTTGACAACAGAATGCACCCATTCTGGATTAACTAAGCAGAAGTACCAACTGAAAATTTCAGAAAATTATTTGTAGTGCAGCTGCTTCTGCAGTAGGAATTGCTATCAATAGTTTTTTAGCACCATTTTTTTTTAACTTTTAAGAAGTCCCATCCTAACTAGAAGCGTCATATTAAACCTTACTCAAACCTTCTTGTATGAGTAATGCTTAGAACAAAATTTAATTGAATTAGTTCAATTTTGAGTTATATTTAAGTGTATAAAAATATTGACATAGATCTCTATAATCTACGTATACATTTTATATACAATAACGTGTCTATATTTGTACGTAATAAACTTTTTTGATGCAGATAGAATATGCAGAGAAAAAAAAGGCTGAAGGGAAAAAAATTAGAGATGATAAGGAAGTTGTTTTGGACATATTATTTGCTGCTTTTGAAAAACATCAATATTATAATATAAAAGATCTCGTTAAAATAACAAGACAACCCATTGTAAGTTAAAAACATATAACATATTAATATTTATTGTTTTTCACATAAATAATAACTCGCCGATTTTCCAGGTATATCTGAAAGAAATTTTAAATGAAGTATGCAACTACAACTTGAAAAATCCGCATAGAAACATGTGGGAATTGAAGCCAGAATATAGGCATTACAAGGAAGAAAAATGCCTCTACGATGCGAATAAAAAAATTTTAAGTGACATTTAGCGACAGGTCCGGGCAGCAGTACTTTTTAATATAAAAATTTTCAACACCATGCTATACTGTTACGTTGACTAAGATACTTGTAACTGTCCACCTTCTCTTGAAGACGAAATCGTTATCATTCTTATGGATATAATTATCTATGAATAAAGTTTCAATAATCTATGAAAAATAACTAGTAAAAAAAGTTGTGACACACTTTTTGGCATATTAACTCTATATATTTATTTAACAAACTAAAGCATATTTCTTGCAATACAGAGCGTTATGAACCAATGTTATTCAAGGGCATTTCCAATAGTCAATGCAAAAGTTTAATATTAAGTAAAGTAGAAAATCTTGATGAAAATACTTGGAGACATTGATAAAGAAACAAAAAAGCCCCTAACATGTTTAAGTCTAATACCATTTTAAACAGTATAATCTATTTATTTAAACAGCTATCATTTATTTCGACAACTAAGTAAGTAAAATACAACAAGGTTCGTTTTATACTTAATGTGGCCTCGACTTCTTTGATTGCCAAAACACAGTATGGCTAGTATTCGCTTTGAGCACAATTCTGAAATCTCGCCCCCACTGGGCACTTTGAGAAAGATTCGTAGTGATTATAAAAGGACACTACTATGAATTGATTTCCACATGCTTGTAGAAAAGCAACATTTAAGGGTTGGCCACTTGGTGAATGGAGCGGGAAGCTCGATTTCATAATAATTACCTTTTCTAATGACGATCAATCGTTCTTTAGTGGGGGCGCGATTTCAGAATTGCGCTCAAAGCGAATACATAGATAATTGTAAAAAAATTTCGTTATATTTAAATTACATCTCCAGTTGTTAAGAACATTACTCATCTCATTTGGTTATTTATCTTTAATTCCACCAATTGGATGATTATCTACAATCTAACATTTTTTTGCCATTAATGAAAAAAATTTGAAATAAGAGTAATTTCAGTACATAATTACTTCTATGAACTCAGTCATAAATGTTTTTAAAAGTATTTTTATTTTTCATATATGTTATCAAAAGATTATTTTTACTTAAGGTTCTTCCGCATTTTATGAACAAATTTTAAGTTTCCCTTTACTTTGTATTAGTTAATGCTAACGCAAAAGATAAATAAGGAACTTATGAACAGAAGGTTTTTTTAAGTTGATGTTTTGATGTATTAGTTATTAATAAATTAGTGATCTGTGCTACTGGAGCAGTGGAACGTTCAACTACATGTGGCATTAACAAAAAGTCGAAATAATAATAGAATTTTTTTATAAATTTATAGTAAAAA